TTCATGGGGTCACGAAGAGTCGGACACGACTTAACGACTAAACAACAACAACAACCCATTCATATTGTGCTGCATAATTGTATTTTGGAGTTTTGCTAAATAGCCATTAGCTTGCCTTCTTTACTCTGAAAAATAATATTATGGTGTAGTTGTTTACTGTATTATTTTCTGCCTCTCTGTGGGAATTGCATTCCAAGAAGCTTAAGTATTCCTTTGTCATTTTTTATTTTTTTTCCCTAATTTATTAATGCATTCATTAAGTCCAAAGGGGAGGGGGGGACAAGAAAAGAATAAAAAGAATATAGAAAAACAAAATTTACAAACATTAAAACATTAGTTTTAAAAGTTTTAAAAACATTAATATAAATCTGCATATTGGAATACCTTATATCAGTTTGAAATGTTAGATCAGTACTAAAATAAATCAATATTAAAGTCAGGTTATTATACAATAAACAACAAAATCCAAGCAAAAATGAAATAGCAGCCTGGCTCTTTGAAGTTTTCTGCCTGGATGAGTCATAGTAAAATAGACCCTGAGGCTGGAAAGATAATGAACAATCACAATGAAGACTGTCAGAGATGTCCTTTACCTTATACAGTTTCCCCAAAATTGTAAGACTTGAGGGCTTGTAGAACACCATGAATGTTCTTTTTATCAGAACATTTTTTGTTCCATATTAGGCTACAGAACATTCTACAATATTATGTCGTTCCATAATTTTAGACATTTCAAACTTGGAGTGCTGACCATGGAGAATTAAATGGGATGAAAGAGAAATTGCTGTAAGTTGTGCCTCCCACTGTAATGTTTAATGTATCTTTTCAGTTTTGAGATCTTCCACAGCTAGTTTTACCTTTTTAGAACACCCTTTTTAAAAATCAGTGCCATTGTTAGGTAAGAGGCTGTGAATAACTGCAGCTGTAAGGAAATCACTCTCCAAGTAGTATAGTGAAGGGTGAGAAGAAACATGACAGTCATTTTAAATTAGCCACTGAGAATCAAGCATTCTGAAATGAACAGATGGAACTTTGGTCAACTCCTAAAAGTGTTCAGAGATGGACCTCAAATGGATCTTGTGAAAAAGGAATTCCACAAGGATAGTGCAGCACAGAAGGGTGCATTTCTTACATGTAATGAGAGTCAAATGAACAGCTATTCTCCATCAGCTGTTCAGAAAGGCATGAATTACATGCCCCCACATATCTCTACTAAAACCCAATTCCATAGTTAACGCTACACAGAGGAAGCCAAGTTCTGTGGGTTGTACCAGAAGTAAAACAGCAGTTCTAAACAGGAAAGTTTTGCTGCTATATCCTGTGCCGTGATTTGCCCAACTTTGTAGGCAAACTTTAACCTTACATTCAGGAAATATTTTTTTTTTTTTTTTTTTTACGGGAACTACTGTAGATAAAAATCCAGCAAACAATGACTCAATATTCCAAAGTTCAGACAGTGACTAATTTTAGACATTAGGATTATTCCCTTTTTCATCCAATGCACAGTTCTCCAGCTTTCTCTGTTATTTCACTGTAGCTTATAATAATTTTACCCTTTATTAAGAGACAAAGTTTCTCTTCAAAATATAAATATTCATGGAAATTAAGAGGGTGTAAGGAGTTTTTCATGTCTTTTTAGTAAAATATTAGCCATCTGCTCTTTGGCCAGCCTGATTGCCATCCAGATCCTTCCCAGCTTGCTAGTGTTTTCTACTTATCCTTATTTCTGGTGTTTTAGTTTTTTGTGGTCTAGCAGCTCTTTTGATTCTTTTGATGGATTTATTATAATTGTATACCTAGGCTCCTCAAGATAGTACCATATATACCAGTGTGCCTGTAGATAACTCCCTGAACTTCCTCCCATATCTCTGACACCTGACTTGTTTTGGGATTGGTTATGGCACCATAGTTAATATTTTATGACTGGTCAATCTCTCTTCCGATGGCAGACATAGCACCTAAAATGCATTCTCAAAATTCCAAATTGCCCTCTGGCCAAAACAGTTGGGGACTTCTTGTAATAGGGCATATTGAGATGCTATTTTGTGCTGCTGTTTTTAGATACTTATTTTAAAATGCTTATATGATATTGATTGTAAGCCACTTGTAAAAACATTGTTTGAAAAGGCAACTCTAAATAATTCACTTATTAGTTCCAGTATGTGCATAATTTCTAAATTGCTACCTGATTATTGGAGTGGGGAAAGAAGATTTAGGATCCTTGAAAATACCCATTCCAGGCCCAGCTGTTTCAGCTCCACCATCCACTGAGCAGCTAAAGATCAATCTTTCCCTGTCATAACACAGAGATCTTCCACATCCTCCTGAAGAAAGTATTAACAAATAATACAGATGGAGAAGAGTTCATTAAATAAGAGAACAATTTTAATTATCTGTGAAAAGCTGTTCTTTTCAGCAATGAGAAATCCCAAGCAGGGTTCCATGCCGCTGAGTTCAGCATATTGCACAGGACCATTTGGGAAATGATCAAGTGGAAGATATTTGTTTGTTTTCCCCACATGTGACTGCCTTTGTTATTATAGTGTCAAAAGATTGAGTTCCCTTAGGTACTCTTCAAAGCGATCCATTCTAAGTCTGCTCAAGAGAGTTCTTTAAACAAAGGCTTATGATGTGCATTCAATCATAAGGCTGTTAAACATTACTTCAGAACTCTTTCAGAATATTACTTTCTTTGGGATTTCTCATTTCTTTCATTTCAAGAGGTTCATGTCCAATATATTAATAACACAACCTTTTTTTTCCTAAACTGTAACTCTTAAAAATATAGATTGTGAGAGTTATATGATGGGATGTTCAAGAAAACATTGATAGCTTCAGCCATGACTCATTCAAGTTGTAGAAAGGTCAGTTTGAGTAAGATAGAATGTCTGAATGGCCAAAAGAAGAAATGGCAGAACACTGAATATAAATGAATATTGTTGAAGAAAATAACAAAGGTGATTTGCATTGTAGGTATCCAACCTTGATTTATGTACAGAATCACTTCATTAAACTGTGTAGCACAGTATAACTACAAATGCAAGCCTATTACCAGGTTCAGACTTCGATTAAATGGACTTGTAACAGACCTGGGATAAGGATAAGATGTAAGATAAACAGTGATATATTTATGCTTGCAGCATATTTTAACACACTGTCTCTAAATACTGCCCAGAAGTGTTTAGTATTTGAGACTATGTGTTGAGTATGGTTGAATGCTCTAAAATCTCAGTTCAACTGTCTTCTGAGGTTCTTTACTTGAAGATGCTCAAGGGTTCCTGTATACAAATTATACTCTTTCCTATTATAGCTCCTGTAATAGGAAAGAGTATAATTTTAAGATTCTTTCTAGAAAATCAACTTTATGATCACTTAGTGAACATAATGGTGTGGCTTTTTTAAGAAAAACACCATACACAGCTTTCATATCATCTCAGATTACTCAGTTGTCAAATGAAAAAGTGCATTCCCCCCCCCCTTGTTACTTTCATTTTAACAGTTAATGAGGTCTCATATATTTGTCAGTGTTCTAGATAAAGGATAACATGGGTTCATTCATTCTGAAACATGCAGACTTTTGTGAAATACAAAACAATACTTTGATTATTTTTTTTTACATTGATGCAAGTGTGAATATTAGATAATTAATCCCCTGACAAAGCAGAATTGTCATGCACTAACCCACCCAGTTACAGGTTTTGTTTTTGTGTTTATTCATTCTTTATATAGTATTTGTGGAATTCAGCATCTGGAACGAGCGGGAAACAAGCTGACTCTCTTTGACTCCCTCTATTTCTGCATAGTGACATTTTCCACTGTAGGCTTTGGAGATGTTACTCCCAAGATCTGGCCTTCCAAATTGCTGGTTGTCATTATGATCTGTGTTGCCCTTGTAGTCTTACCAATACAGGTAAACAATATTATATTCTCATTATGAAAAGACTTAGAATAACAGAGTTTTAATTTTGAATATTTTGTAATGACTACACTTGTATTTTACATCATTTCAAAATAGCCACATCTTCTTTTGTTCATTTATATATAAAATAATTGCTTTTTTCTCTACTTGCAATAAAGCATTAGTATACATTACTGTATATATATAATACATTTCATAATATATTTGAGAAAGTGTGTGAGAGTAAGAGGGTTAATATGTAAAGGGGTAAGAATCTAGAATTTAAGAAGCTAGAACCTAGACTTTGATTTAGGAATAAATTGTAAACTTTACCTATACTTAATACTCAGGGTTTTTTTTAGTATTTGAGTTTGAATTCAGTGTTTTTTTTTTAAATTGTAATAGACTGACTAAGGCAAAGAATCACCCTGTGGGGGAGATGGGCAGCATATACATTTAATAATTAATAAATAAATAAATAAATAAATAAAAAGAGGAGGATAATACATGTATAAACATGTTGAATTTGAAGCCAGGCCTGTGTGTTTGATACATGCACACAGTACTGGGTTTGATCTGTTGCAATAGCTAATCAAAATTCATTTCCATGCTTAGTTGTTTACATGCAGACTTACTAAATTCCCAAATGGAATATAGGTGGTGCATAATTATTAATATTAGCCATTCTTTTTGCAAATTTTACTTCATGATTAAAATAAAATATAAGTAATGTGATTCACATTTAAAAATGCAAATTGAACAAAATCCTAAAGCAACTCTACTTATCTCATGTGAACTTGTGGTGAAATCCCAAAGCAGGGCATAACTGAACTCTAGTTCATGTCTAAGTCATGGTCATTGATCAGCCATCCAGCATGTAAAACAGAAGTGATGTGTAACTGAAAGACAGTTATACGTTTACTGACAAAATGTATTTATTGATAAAGTCATGGGTCTACTAATAGGAATTTCTATTATATCAGTAAAATTAAAGACTTGATACTTTTGAAGTTAGCGTGGCTCCACTTCTGATTTTTCACGTTCACTGCTCCATTCAAATTTATAAAAAGAACTGTTCTCAGACTTCTGTTTTCTGTAGTCTGAAAGGTCACTTGTTCTGCCTATAAGCTTAAGTAAAATGATTAAATTTCTCCATCTGTTGTTTGAAAAACAGATTAAATTATTCCCTACAAGTAAAATGCAACTGTTTCTATGGAATGGTAAATAATGTTGGGAAAATTTAATCATTCAACCTCATTTATTTGTTTGTTGTATAGGAGGATGATATTGATTTTCAAGGTTGATTTAGTCCTTGCTCAATAATTTACCCAACTACAATTCTTCACTTACATGTAGTAGAATAATTTCCATATAATCTTATGTGGAGGAAAAAGGGAAAAGCTGTTCAGTCAAGGTAAATTTATTAAGATTTGGTAAGAGATTGTGTCTCTCCAATGAGAATATATGTAGGCAATGTGTCTCTCTGGAGAAAATATGCATAGACGCAGAGTCTCTTCTAAGACTTTTTGCATTTTAAATCCCATATTGGGGTATTTTGCTTCAATGGTCATAGTATATGTTCATTTCTGATATTTGTTTATATAATTGCCTTAAATTACTGGCCCTGTGTAATTTTTCAGCTAGTTACTGTGGTCTAAGCCAACAACATGATAAATGCAATCTGATTAAAATGTTATCATATTTTTTCCTTTGAAAACGCATGCAGAGGAAGACCTTAAAGCAAAACTATTATTCGTAGTCAACATGCTTCACAGCATAGGTATCCTATAAAGACTAGTCTACCCATTCAGAAACCTATGTTAAGACGCTCATATATACCACTTGGGGAGGAAGGTCGGGGGGGGATCATATAAATAAATATTCCTATTTACACATATCAGAACTCTCTAGCTTTCTCAGGGCTGGCTAATCAGAATGTACCTAGTGTTATTTCTCATGGGTTTGCTTTCAAAAGAATTGTTGATGTAGCAAATGATGCTCCCAGCCAAATTAGACTAGTACCATAATAGACATTTACCTCTTAATTTCTTGCATGTGTGCAAACTTACATACCCATACAACCTTCATACCCCTTTCATAATAAGCACCATTATATAAAGCATAGAAGAGGAATAAGAAATAGTAGACAAAGTAGATTGAAGGAATGAGATAACAAAAGAAAACAGCTAAATCTAGATCAACACCATGTACTGTACTATTACATACCTTTGCATTTCTGCAAACCATCCTTACTTCCATCACATCCCTATACCAAATCATATACTTTCTTTTGTTCTTTAAATTTCTCATCTCTGTCTTTGTGAGGATCTCATGAATTCCATACCACCTTAATTTTCTTTCTCCTTCCTCTTGATCTTTTTCACCCTTTATATATTTGTTTTGTGATTCTATTCATATTCATTTTTGTTTTATGATCATTATACAGTATGTGACTTCATATTAGTCACTCACTTTAGTCTCAAACATCTCATTCCATTAATCATTTATACATTTTTAATCCTCTTCTTGTAGTACCACACACATTTCTTAAGTACTCCATTTCCACTGGATTTCACTTATTTTTATGTTTTGTTTTGGTTTTTTTGGCATAGCCAGTTCTCACTTCCAGATAACGGAGTGGGCAGAAGTATGCTCTTATACACTTTAGCTCCTTTCAATAAATATTAATTCCTCACACCAACCCACAATATTACCCACTCTGTTTCTACCAGTATTTGTACTTCTTAAATTTCTCCATCTGTTTTATCATCTTTAGTAAACATTCTACCAAGCTACACTGGTTCATCTACATATGTTCTGTCTTTTCACTATTATATATAAATATAATAGTAAAAAGGTGAAAAATTATATTTCACTAATAAATATAAATAATTGTATAACTATTATATATAAATTTGCAATTATTCTATTTCCCCTTTCAAAAGCAACTTCCTTGGTCTTTGATACATTAATTTTCAAATCCATACTCCTCCTTACAAACTTGACTGCAAATCGTTCAGGTTCTAGTCAACAATATGTCATAAACTCTGTGCAAAAGTACACACATATTCACATCCTGACTTCTAGTTGCATTTCTTATAATATGTCCATAACTACATTAAACAACCAAGGAGACATTGCATGTCCTTGTCATACTGTGTGCTTAGAATTGAACCATTAACGTAAAAAAAAAAAAAGCAAACATACAATAAACTTATCGACATTCATACATATTTCAGTAACTTGCTGAAGAGCAGAAAATTTTGTCACACACACCCTGCCAAGGAGAAAGCTGCATTGCATCTCTCATACCCTTTAAAATCCAAATTCTGCCAAACACTTCTTAACACTTCCAAAACATTGATTAATAATTCTGTCAAAATTGCTCTGCATTATCTATTGCTCTTTAATCTTAACTATTGCTTTCTCTCTTTGAGTACATTGTTTACAACTATTTTTATTCTGTGTACTAGTCACTTCATCATTACACCAAGAGTCCTTTTCATATTTCTATTTCCATAACTCCACAGACTTCTGGGGTGTTCAGTAATTTAATTATTTTGAGTCTGTTTAATGCAGTTTCCTGAACATCTTGCATCCATTTTCCATTCTATTGGCTCACCATCTAATAGCCATCTATAGCTGCGATGTCATTCTCTGAAAACCATGATTTTTTACTTTGATTTATTAATAATCAGAATTATTATGACAGTAGGAGCCACCTTTCCTTATTTAGGGGTATTCTCTGATACTGGATCTTGGCTCCCTCGTCATCAAAGTATCTCACTCAGAGTGAGGGCACGTGCAAATTTATTGCTCAAATGAATAAATCACAGCTATCCAGGTTTCTTAGCCCCAATTATTAAAGTATATAAGGCCAAAATTACTCCTGTGCTTTTATATGGAGCTGAAGTTTGGGGCTTAAAACATGTACCATTATTAGAACAAACACAGTCACAGCATCTGAGAAGTATCCTGGGTGTGAATAAAAGGATCTCAGCTGCTGCAGTTAGAGCTGAATTGGGAATTTATACAATTTATTCTTTGTCTAAAATCAGGACATATAATTATTGGTGTAAAATCAATGCTATGGAAACTGACAGACTCCCAAAACCCTGTCTGTTAGAACAGACAAAATCTCAGTTACAGACCTCTTGGATTGTACAACTGACAGATTATATCAGGAGCTGTGGTCTCCCTGTTTCTTGTCCAACTGTTTCTGGAAAGCAAGTTAAAAAGATTGCTGCACAAAGAATTTTGGATATTGAAGCTCAGAGGGATATATCCACCCTTAGTAAGGCTGGCACATTAAAACTGATGAGTTGCTATAAACATACCTTCCAAATTGGCAAATGTTTAAGCACGGAAATGCCCAAACATTTTAGGGGGATATTTACTCAAGCAAGATTTGAGCAGCTGGACACAATGGTTAAACATGGAAGGTTTAATCAAGCTCCTCATAATGAACATTCAAGCGGAGCCCCAGAGACAGAAGATATAACACATATATTATTTAAATGTCAATTGTATAAGAAAAAAATATCAGTATCTTGGACCGCAAATTAGACAAATGGCCTATTGGGATCCTTATATTAAAAAAACATATTTCATCTGTGGTCAGAATCCAAAAATTATATATAATGCGGCCCTTTATTTGAACAAAACAGTACAGTTGAGAACTGCATATATGGATCTGATTGGGGTAAATTGTAGGGGTGGCATGGAAATATGATTTGCATTTTCTTTTACTTATTTCTTTTATTCTATTTGTAACATTAGTCTTGTTCTGTGTTTTATATTTTGTATTCTGATATGGCTTAATGGCTAATCAATAAAGTATTACTATTACTACTACATATTCCATTCATTCTGTTAGATTAATCTATCTTGTAATGGTTCATAATTTGTAGTATCTCTTTCTTTAGTTATTCTACTTCCATTATAACAAATCAGTCATACTTTTAAATTAGTTCCATTACAATGCATGAAGAGACATATACTGAAACCATAGATTCAAACCATACCTCATCCCTAATTTTTAATCAGTCATACTTTTAAATTAGTTCCATTTCATAATTTGTAGTATCTCTTTCTTTAGTTATTCTACTTCCATTATAACAAATCAGTCATACTTTTAAATTAGTTCCATTACAATGCATGAAGAGACATATACTGAAACCATAGATTCAAACCATACCTCATCCCTAATTTTTCTATTATCACCATTCATTGAAGTTTAACATAGGAATATAAAGTATGCATTTTTACTTTCATCTACATTTGCAACAATCTCAGTGACATCAATTCATACTTAGTGACATTCATTTTAATCCTTTCATCCATAATTAAACTTCCACCTACTAGTTCAGTTCATTTTTATTCAGATCTATTACATCCTCCCCTTTCTATTACATCCTTCCCTTTCTCTTCTTTTCATTTTATTCATACTTTGTACTAGTTGCTCCTCTTACAATCCAAATAACAATTTTCCATATCATGGTCATCACCAAATGAGCCCATAAATAATGACCTCTGCCACCCATCATGGCTTTGATTGAGACAATCATATAATGGTATTTAGTAAGAGAGAGGAGTAGATTAGGGTGCCAGTGTTAGATATATCTTTGTTATGTAACATTTCCAGCTAATGATGAGGATCGTCAGTTTGCACACGTTAGCTAGTATGCCAAAAACACAACCAAAGCCCAGTGGATTTGCACACTGTTCTGTGGAAGCTAAGATCTTTATTGTAGAGATGACCAGGAAAGCCAACATACTGTTGCCACACCCAACTAACTAGGAGGTAAATGTAATATGCTAATACACTCAGGATTCAAGTGTGTTTTTTTGAAATATGTATTGCTAGTTTATCCTTCCTAGTTGAATTGTTATATATTCTGTATTTTAGATTTAAATTAATACAAACAAATAACTAGACATTTGGGCTACATGGTTTCTCAGCATCTTCTCAGATAACTTCTTGAGGCTTTGAAAACATACTTTATCTGTGTTCAGATAAATGTGTCATTTTTTAAACCTTTTATTTTATTGCAGTTTGAGCAACTGGCTTATTTGTGGATGGAAAGACAAAAATCAGGTGGAAATTATAGCCGACATAGAGCTCAGACGGAGAAACATGTTGTTTTGTGTGTCAGTTCTCTTAAGATTGACCTGCTTATGGATTTTCTAAATGAGTTCTATGCTCATCCTAGGCTCCAGGTAAGTCAAGCAAATCAGCATTTCAATTCAGGCAGAAATATTATGCAGACCATTTCCTAAAATTTTTAATTCATTTAAATACTCAGTAGTGCCATGGGTCACCTACTTATATCTGTAAAATTTAACTCATTTTAAAATTTATTAAAGGAGTATAAAACAT